TCTCATCAGAATACTTCCGTCTCGCCACTCGTCTTCTTCCTCTGCCAGGTAGTATCGGGAACTGAGTCCGTAAATCTTGCCAGGCCTCCCTCTTGGTCTCCGACTCTCCGCACATACCGGTGCTCGACAATTTTCTCCACATCTGCCTTTCTATCCATGGTGGTGCTGTCTCATCAGAATACTTCTGTCTCGCCACTCATCTTCGGGATAAAGGTGCTGTCTCATCAGAATACTTCCGTCTCGCCACTCGTCTTCTTCCTCTGCCAGGTAGTATCGGGACTTGATTCCGTACATCTTGCCCGGCCTCCCTCTTGGTCTCCGACTCTCCGTACATACCGGTGATCAACAATTTTCTCCCCATCTGCCTTTCTATCCATGGCGGTGTACAGAGATCACTACACTGACCATAGTCAACTCCTTGTTTGATAAAGATGGAAGTCTGATTTAAACGGCCAGATAGAGCATCACATTTGACACCAAAGGAAGGTACTGCCCAACTGCGAAGTACATCAGGTGGAATGGACCAATTCATGTTTGCAACTCTTTTTTATCCAACTCAACTGAATGAGGTTGAAGTGGTGCCGCTGCCATTTCCTGGCCTTGGACATGTAAGGGTCATACCGTCATACCAAACCCAATTGCCTCGGCGCCTCTTCCTGTGAGAACGAATGAATCCAGGAAAACAGGGTAAGTTCTCAGGTGGGGTGGTACATCCATCAGGTAATATGGCCCTATCCTGTTGTCCCCAATTACCTTCAATACTCGCAAGGCCCACACCATTTCTGCAGAAGTTTTCTGGGTATTCCTTCCTCCAGTGCAAACTCATCCATGTTGACCCAGACGAGATCTCCCTTCGAAGGTCTGCCGTGTCGATTGGCTTCAACAACCATACATTCTTGCGCCTTCTGCATAGCCCTGATGGCCTGTCACAGTTCCTCAGCGGACTGCTTGGAGCACTGTATTGTTCAGGAGGATACGTCTGCTGCCAATCCGCAGCTAAGAAAGCAATTGGTGTACGTGGCTTCCATGCAAGATGAAGAGCATCACGTGTCCGGATGGTGGCTGGGTCTACTGAGGAGTTGTAACCACTCTCCACCTTATCTAGTTTTCCATCGCAGTCCATCTCATAGGGCCTGATTAGGTGGGGCAACACCTGCTGAATGGTACGGTTCATGTGCTCAGTCTGTCCGTCCATTTGGGGGTGATTAGCAGAACTCATCTTGAGTTATGTACCAGCAAACTCCATCATGCTACCCCACATCTCACCAATGATGCACTGTCGCCAATGACCTCCTTTGGAAACCTGAATTCTGAGAACCGATGTTCCCAGAATAACTCAGCCACTTCCTTTGCTGAAGAATGTTGTTTCTGCATAGGTATTAGCCTGATAAACTTGGAAAAACAGTAGACGATGACGAAGAGCGGAAAAACAGTAGATGATGACGAAGAGCATGTCGTTTCTATCCTTTGGACATCGGCAACCCACTCATGGTATAGGCAACAGTTGCACGAGTCCATACAATTGATGACTTCGACCTTTTGTCCACTTGCAAACGGCACAGCTATTGACATGCTCTGCTGCATCATTCCTCATGGAAGGTTGATAGAAAGCTCCAGTAACCTCATATAAGTTTTCTTGAACCCAAAATGCACTTCGTCGCACTCGCTGAGCGCATTCACCCTCAACTCTTGTGGCATGCAGACTCTTTGCAAACCCTCGCTTTCCATAAAGAGCAAACCCCTCTACAATGTATAATCCGGCGCATACTAGGATCTACCTCCAGATTTGCGATCATCTGAGAATACACAGGATTAACCGCATAGGCTCCTGCAATTCTGTCGATCAGGTTGGTGCTAACTCTCCACTTTGACAATATGGCTCCCATGGAGTCGCACCTCCTCGACAGTGCATCGACAACTTGATTATACGGAATTTATACCTAACATTCCTGTGCTTCAACTCAAATTTAAAGGTATCAATGTAGGCGAACCATCTGGCTAGATTATCTCATAACTTAGGCTGCGGTTTCAACCATTGAAGAGTCTCATCGTCCGAATAGACCTAAAACACCCTAGCAGGTAATGCCTCCATGTCCTTGGGGCAAATACATAGCATAAAGCGCTCTCACATAGGTACTGGCCGCAACTCTCTTCGAAGGCATATTCTTCGACAAATACTCCCAAGATTTGTAAGCCATGCCCATCGTCTTGTTGCAGCACCACCCCAACACCGAACTAACAGGTGTCCAGTGGTTAACACAAATGGCATCGCAGGAGCTGAAACCTTCAAGACGGGATGTCTGATGAGACAGTCCTTGAGAGTCTGAAAGGACCTCTCACACTCCTCTTTCCACTCACGCGGAGCATCCTTCTCTGTCAATCGGGTCAACGGCGCGGCACTAGTGACTCGACCTTCAAAGAACTTCTTCGATTAATTGACCATGCCCATCTCTCACATTTTGTGGCGTTGGCCACTCTGCAACAGCCTCCACTGTCATGGCTTCATGCCGGACTCCAAACCCATCAATCACATGACCAAGGTACAATATCTCTTCCTTCCCAAATCCGGTTTTCTTTGCGTTGATGTTGTACTACCCCTTTCTCAGTGCCTCAAAAAAAACGTTGCCTTCAAAGTTCAAATGCTCCATGTATTCCAAAACATTGGGCCTGAACACAAGGATGATAGACCACACAAACTGATCCCGGTAGTCCCTAAGGAACTCAGTGACAGCCCGCTGAAACGTGGCAGATGCGTTAGTCAGTCCGAACAGCATGGCTGTGACGGGGCTGAGGCAGAGCAGCGAGACTGGGAGAGAGAGGGAGAGTGAGAGCACACACACACGCTCACTCAACTCGGCGCAGACTCGACACGACTCGACGGACGCAGACACAAAGTGGCAAAGTCGCAAAGTCGCAATCTTGGATTCCAAACACAATGTCGCAGCAAGTCACACTGAAGCACAAGCACTGAGACCGAAAACTGAATGCCCGAACTCAGCTTGAGTCCGGTCTTGAGTACCGGACTCAAGTTGAGTCCCAAGGGCAGAAGGGCAATTTGCCTCGGGGCTGAACTCAAAATCGTAGGTCTGAGCCTGGGCGCCAGAATGTCGGATGGCGTCAAGTATCGAAATCCGAAAGTGCCAGAGGAGGGGTTTGAGAACGGGCGCCAGCTGCAGAGGGCGCCAACAGTCAGGGACCGGAGATCAGAGGCTCACAAATGAGATAGCAGCCTGGCGGGTGGTAACCCGCGGACCAGGGATCGAGCCCTGGCTGAGTCCGTAACAATTGCAGTGAACTCATAGTTGCCGCTTGGAGTCATGAACGTTGTGATCTACAGGTTACACCTCGATCTGATGATAGCCACTCTTCAAGTCGACCTTGGAGAAAATTCTGCAGCTTTGCATACTCTCTAGCAGGTCATCGATGAATAACAACAATTCCACGTTCTTGGTGGTGATATTATTCAAGCTACAGTAGTCGATGCAGTGGACTCATGAGGGGCTGCCTTCACACTGAACATGGAGAGGTAAGGCTAGGCACAAGCACACTGCGGACACATGATGCTTCCATTATGGTGCCAAGAAAGCTGAAATGTGGCCCAGGAACTCTCAGGGGCAGCTGGTTGACTATGACAAAGGCCATACCATCTTTCGACTCCCTCCTCCTTCGGGTTCCGCCAGCCTGTTATAGCTGGAACTGACCGAGGGAGAAGGAAAGAGGCAAGGGAGGGTGTTCAGGACAGGCAGGTGTGGAGAGCAGGGCGATGGGAGTGATAGCATGGTCTTACCTCGGAGCGGTGGTTCATTTATTTGTCTCACAGAAGCCAAAACGCGGTCTAGGAAACCCTAGCGGCAGCTGGTAGACTATGAACAAGCTGATATCCTTGTCCTCCTTTCCCCTCCTCCGGGTCCGTCCAGTCAGGAACTCATATCCGGTACTGACTGAGGGAGGGCAGAGGTAAAGGAGTGTGTTCAGAACAGGCAGTACTGAGAGCTTGGCCAAGGGAGTGATAGCAGGGTCTTGCCTTTGAGTGGTGGTTCATTATCTTGGCTCGGAGAACATTGTTTGATGCTTAACATCTTCCAGCCCTAGGAAGCTCTCCAGATCAGCCCGCGGGTGTCAGCATGAAACCTGCACCACTTCGGTGGCCACCAATTTTTTTCTTCAAACATCGCCCCACACCGCGCGGCCCCTCCGAGTTTTGCTTGTGGCAGCAAAAACTTTCTGCAAGGCTGGGCCCGTGTACTTGCGGTTTAAGTTCAAATGGCGGACGCTTACGGACACACAAACATAGGTGGCATTGCTCTTCATGTGCCCCATGGGAACAATATCTCCTGCCACTGCACTGGTGGGACATAGCATAGGCTGCGGAATTGGTGGTGGCAGGAGAAGCCCAGTTGTGGTCCCCCCCCCCCTCTCTCTCTCTCTCTCTCTCTCTCTCTCTCTCTCTCTCTCTCTCTCTCTCTCTCTCTTCCCCTCTCTTCCTCTCTTCTTTGCCTTACCTTCAGGTGAGTTCAGTTGTTTTGGTGTATGAATGTGTTAAAACTCTCTTTTCATGCAATGCTGAAGTAGGGCCACAGAAACCATGTTTTCAGCCCTCACTCTGTCCTCCACAACAGTGAGGATCGTCACAAAATTCCACACAAATGATCCTCATGCTATCATAACACTTGGATGGAGCAGCAACTGCGATGGTCACAGCAACAGGAGAATGATTCTCCTAGGCAATAGGACAAATTAGAGGTGGTAGCAATCTCATATGCTGAAGCATAAGTGACAGTGAAGTTTCAGCTAGAAGTTACTGTCCCCCATAAGTCTAATCCTCCTCAAAGCTTTCTTTTAATGTGTAGGTGCTTTATGTGATCGACACAAAACCCGACTGTCAAATATAATGTATGTTTAGTCAGTACAATGCCTATCTCATATTTATGTTTACTGAAAGTTCAGCCAATATTATTCCAAACACTAGTAGCTTGTCGGAGCGTTCCTGGAAACCCTACCTTGATCTCAGATGCTGCAATTTTTCGGGAGTTTGGATCCTCCCTATCGACTGCAATTACTCGCATGGCCTTAATTATGGTTCCCAGCAAAGGCATGGCCTCATGAGATTTTGAGCTGACGATAGTTGGCATCATATCATAGAAGAAGAAGATTGGGTCCATAAAGCTGGTATGGTTCGACACAACAATTGGAGCAATAGAACGAGGGGCAGGTCGACCTTTCCGATGGATCCATAAAAACCTGTCACGTACACAATGAAGTCATCACAAGGGTGAACATCCAGTCAGTGTTTCCAGTGGAGACCAACCTTGGAAAGCATCAAAGGAAACCAGTCAGATTGCACATGTGAGCAACAGCCTCCCCGATCTGCAGCAACAACTATCCCTAGAAAACAGCAAAGAAAGACAAATTGCCTATGACCAGGCGCGCCGCCCTACCCTCGAGATAAGATCACCACCAATCCGTTTCCTTCATAAAGGAGGACACAAGACAACTGCAGGTATATTCATCTGACAGGTATCCCTGTAGATCACTATTCCGGAAAAGAAATGTGAACTGAGCTTGCTTCCACAACGAACAAGGAGATGCTGATTACCAACACATCATATTGCTGTGCAAAAGCGGTGGTTCCTACGTGTGGCATGCATGGCCATACCACATGGGCCCTAGCATCCCAACACTGTCGTCCTGAGGGCAGGCGTTTGGCATGGACGACCCCTAGGCTGCACAACTCACATTTCGGGCGGCCTTAAACCACTAGCACCTACACCAGTGTTGGGAAAATAGGGAAAACTGGCAGTTTTCCCATTTTCCCCGAAAAGTTTGGAGGTCCCAGAGGCTCGGCGAGAAGAATAAAGTTTAGTTTTATATTGCCTGCTCGTGAAAGGTTTTAAAAAAAAAAAGAAGATACTTTCTCTACTGCCATGATGCCGGGCAGGGTAGACTAGAAGACCATGCTCGCAGTAGTCCTCCACAGAATGAATCTTGCTGCTCACACGTTCAGATTGTGAATGTTGTTGCTTTCTTTTTTCCCTTTCTTTTCTTACTCTTACGAGTCCCCTGCCAGCGAAGCAGGGCATAGTCCATGATTTGCTGAAGCTGTGTTTCCTCAACCGTGATCACATTGGCACTCAGAGGACTGTATACAGCCAATATCACGACCGAATCTGTGTTTTTCCTTTGTTTTTTCCTTTGTGCAAGGAACATGAGTATGGACGAAGCACAGAAATCCAGAATGCAAAATCACACTGAAGTCCAAGTAGTCAAAGCCAAAGCAGATAGCACATGGAACCGAGTAACCATCCAATTGAGAATGATACAGAAGAATCGTGAGTCAATGTCCATGCCCAACAGGGCAACACCAACAGCATAACCCAAATGTAGCTCTCTTTTGTGAATGGCGCCAGGCGCCCTATCTACTCTACAGCCTATCCTACAACTACAGCAATGAAAAGCAATCAGACAACTTGACTACCAGCGAGTGATGATGTCAACACCAATGCCGACCTCCACCTTCACCAGGTATGTGTCCTCTTCCCCTACACTCTCCCTTGTTACCCACACAGCGCCCTTCACCTCCGAAGACCACCTTCGCACTTCACCTCTCTGCACCCTCATGCGGCCCGGCTATGGCCGCCAGTGCCTTGTATGCAGGCAGCGCCCTACCGCCTGGCGCTGGCCTGCTTCACCTTAGCGCAGCGCTGCTCTGCACAGCACAGCACACATGCATCCGCGCAGCGTGCCCGCAATGTCAGCATTGGCCAAGATCCCTGCTCCCTCGCCCTGCTTGCCTATATGCCAATGCAGCGTGTGGGCTGCCTCCCTTCAGCCTGTGACCGGGACCCAGAGGCTGAAGCCAACTCGATACAGTTGGGCCCCGGGGCAATGCAGTTGCGCCTCTTTCATCAAGGCCTGTGGCCAGATTCARATAGTGGGCCGATTTCCCTTTGGCATTTTCGGCCTCTCTACCCAGCATGCATTGTCGGCCTCACGTTCGAGTGCCCAGGGCCTAACTAACTCAGAGGCCCTGGGCTTTCAGCATTTGCTGAAATCCGAGWCTCGGTGCACWCCAACCAACTGGCGTGCTGCAACTGTATGAACCCCACTTCGTGAAATGTTGGCACAGAGGGCTCTTRTTGATTTGCTGGCCCGCCTTCACTTAGGGCGGGCACGAGGCTTGCTGGGGCCTTAGCCCAGAACATGTACATCATGGCAAGGCCCCT